TTGGTTCTCTTTTAGCTCTCTGTTGGTTCTCTGTTAGTTTGTGGTTGGCACTCTGCTGGTTCTTTGCTGGTTCTCTGTTGGTTCTGTTCTAGCTCTCTGTTGGTTCTCTGTTGTTTCTGTTTTAGTTCTCTGTTGGTTGTCTCTTGCCTCTCTGCTTGCCTCTCTGCTGGTTCTCTGCTGGTTCTTTGTTGGTTCTTTGCTGGTTCTCTGGTGGTTCTCTGTTGGTTCTCAGTTGGTTCTATTTTAGTTCTCTGTTGGTTCTTTGTTGGTTGTCTGTTGGTTCTCTTTTTGTTCTCTGTTGGTTTTTTGCTTGCCTCTCTTCTGGTTCTTTGCTGGTTCTCTATTGGTTCTCTGTTGGTTCTCTGCTGGTTCTCTTCTGATTCTCTGCTGGTTCTCTGCTGGTTCTCTGCTGCTTCGCTGCTGGTTCTCTGTTGGTTCTCTGTTGGTTCTCTTTTAGCTCTCTGCTGGTTCTCTGTTGGTTCTTTGTTGGTTCTCTGTTGGTTCATTCTTAACTCTCTGTTGGTTTTATGCTTGGCTCTCTCCTGGTTTTCTTTTACTTCTTTGTTGGTTCTCTGTTGGTTCTCTGTTGGTTTTCTTTTGGTTGTTTTCTAGCTCTCTGCTGGTTCTCTGTTGGTTCTCTGTTGGTTCTTTGTTGGTTCTCTTTTAGTTCTGTTTTGGTTCTCTTTTAGTTCTCTGTTGGTCCTCTCTGTTGGTCCTCCCTGTTGGTTCTGTTTTAGCTCTCTGTTGGTTGTCTCTTGCCTCTCTGCTTGCCTCTCTGCTGGTTCTCTGTTGGTTCTCTGTTGGTTCTTTGCTGGTTCTCTGTTGGTTGTCTCTTGCCTCTCTGCTTGCCTCTCTGCTGGTTCTCTGTTGGTTTTCTGTTGGTTCTTTGCTGGTTCTTTGCTCATTGTCTGTCGGTTCTCTCTTGGTTCTCTTTTAGCTCTCTGTTGGTTCTCTGTTAGTTCGCGGTTGGCTCTCTGCTGGTTCTTTGCTGGTTCCCTGTTGGTTCTCTGTTAACCCTCCGCTGGTTCTCTGTTACTTCTCTGTTAGCTCTCTGCTGGTTCTTTGCTGGTTCTCTGGTGGTTCTCTGGTGGTTGTCTATTAGCTCTCTGCTGGTTCTCTGTTGGTTCTTGGTTGGTTCTCTGCTGGTTCTTTGCTGGTTCTTTGTTGGTTCTCTGTTGACGATGAAGGTCATGGTCAGTCATGTTTGTGTTGCACTCTGACACACTTCCTGTTCTCTCTGACTTCCTGTTTGTGGATCAGATGACTGCAGTCAGTTTGTGGTTTTAGAATGACTTTCAGCTCCGTCTGTCCTCAGAACCTCGACTCAGGAAGGAACCCCCTACAGGACGGACAGAAAGGAAGCAGAACCAATCAATCACATTACAGATATTGATCACAGAACTATAATGAGGAATGTGGATTCAACCATTAGCTACTCACAGGAAGTAACAACAACAACAAACATGTTAATAAGATAAAGTTAATTAACAGGAAGTGAACCAGCAGTAAATCAGTAGAAAGAGGTTGTTTGTTACGGAGAGAAAATAAATGTTTTATATATGTATAAATAATAATATATATAGTGTTTTATTATGATGATGATATTGTTCATTAGAAACTCAGTATTCTTAAGATCTTAACAGGGCAGATCTGTACGAGGGGAAATTAATATTTATGGATCTGACAGCATAGATTCATAAGCTATAAACCATCAGAAGCTCCTGATAGTCGGACCTGAACAGGAACTCTGGTTTCAACCAACAGAGAGAACTGCTGATTAAAGAGGAGAGACTGACCTCTGCTGGACAAACACAGAACTGCACCCAGCCTTATGACGTCTTACTGTTCCCTGTGCAGATGTTCTGTGCAGATGTTCTGTGTTTTCTTCACACAAACAGTCTTCACTAAAGGGCCACTTATTGTTAGTTCCAGGTCTTTCTACAGGCACTTTACTGCAACCTGTTCCATCATCAATAAACTGACTGTATGTTCTGTGTATTTCATATTGACCAGTATCAATAACAGCAGAGAACAGCTGAACACAATAACTGCAGGAAGTTTGATTATTTCCTGTGAATATTGATCAGAAAGGAGTTTTGAGCCAGATGGTGGCGCTGTAATTAAGGCTGGTTATGTATTAATCATATCAATAACCTCACAATCAGCCCACTGGGAGTTTAAATATGGACACTTCTGGTTTAGAGATGCAATATTCCAGCAATGCAGTAAAACAACTCAATTACAAAAAACAAAAATACAGTAATTATCTATAAATAAAATACAGTTTCTCTTTAATGTTTAGTTAAAGATATTTACAGTGTAAAATAATGATCTATAAATACAGGTGTTATAATACAATTAATCAGGCTTACATTTACAGCAGAGTGCTGTTATTATTGGATTGTTATTATTTT